GCTTTCTCCTCTAGGGTTTTGATGGTTTCCTGTCTCACATTCAGGTCCATCATCCATTTTGAGTTTATTTTTGTGAATGGTGTAAGAAAGTGGTCTAGTTTCATTCTTTTGCATGTTGCTGTCCAGTTCTCCCAGCACCATTTGTTAGAGACTGTCTTTTTTCCATTGGATATTCTTTCCTGCTTTGTCAAAGATTAGTTGGCCATACATTTGTGGGTCCAATTCTGGATTCTCTATTCTGTTCCATTGGTCTATGTGTCTGCTTTTGTGCCAATACCACACTGTCTTGATGATTACAGCTTTGTAGTAGAGGCTAAAGTCTGAGATTGTGATGCCTCCCACTTTGGTCTTCTTCTTCAATATTACTTTGGCTATTCGGGGTCTTTTGTGGTTCCCTACAAATTTTAGGATTACTTGTTCTAGCTTCAAAAAGAATGCTGGTGCAACTTTGATTGGGATTGCATTGAATGTGTAGATTGCTTTGGGTAGTACTGACATTTTAACAATATTTATTCTTCCAATCCATGAGCATGGAATATTTTCCATTTCTTTGTATCTTCTTCAGTTTCCTTCAGAAGCTTTCATTATTTAATTTCTAAACTCGTTGTTTCAGAAAATTTGTGTGAAATAGGAGGAAGCTGGTCAGAGACAGCCACTTTGTGTGGAGATAAGCTAGGCCCCTGCCATATGGGTAGCAGGCTGTGGGCCAAGAAAAAAGATGGTCAGAGTGGATTCCCTGGGGAGGGGCCCAGTCAAATACAGTAACCTGTTTTAAGTTTTCCTTTCCATGTTTTATTTTCATCCTGATATTCTGAAGTTTTCAAGAAAATTGGTTAAGCATTTGTGCCTTGTCTTAGCTGTGCTTTAGGGACTTTATTCTTTTTTTTTTTTTTTTTAAATTTTTTTTTTCAACGTTTATTTATTTTTTTGGGGACAGAGAGAGACAGAGCATGAACGGGGGAGGGGCAGAGAGAGAGGGAGACACAGAATCGGAAACAGGCTCCAGGCTCTGAGCCATCAGCACAGAGCCTGACGCGGGGCTCGAACTCACGGACCGCGAGATCGTGACCTGGCTGAAGTCGGACGCTTAACCAACTGCGCCACCCAGGCGCCCCTTAGGGACTTTATTCTTGGGATAAAGTGGTAAAGGACAAAGTGAACTGGAGAAGCAGACTGCCAACCAGCTAAAACTAGTTAGCACATCGGTCTGGGGTGACATGGCTGGCTGAGGTGATAAATGACTTTACCAGAAGAACCAGAAGAGCTTTATGGAATATATAAACGTTTCTTGAGGCTTCTCCAAAATTACATGGGGGTGAGGGGCAACCTGGTAGAAATCCAGACTTCCCGTAACCAAGCAGATAGAGTTGAGACCAAACTGTCTCTTCCAGTGTGTTACCCTAAAAGCTAATGACATTGAAGACACCTGGGATACAGTCTGAGCAGCACTTTTTCTGAATTTATATTAATAATATAAAAGTTTAACATGTGTAGAGTATAAAAACAGCAGTTACCTTTGCTAAAATTGATACAGAATGTACTTTCTTTTTATCATTTACAATACTGTCAACCAGGTCAGCCACTGATAGTCCAACAGACCAGGATCTTTGACCTTTTACCCGTAACACCTCCATGGCTCTAGGTTGTCAAAAAAATAAATAAATAAAAAATAAGTAAATCTCAGAAAATGCACAAATATGCACAGTTTTACATTGTATAAGGTCTTAATTAGATGTATTTTTATTCAGAAATAAGACTTCTACAGCAATTGTTAGGAAAGCCTACAGATAATCTAATGACTAAATTTTTCTTAAAATGTCAGGAAGGTAGTTCACAGAGAGAAAATACAAATGGCCTAATAACATAGAAAGAAGCTCACCTCTACCAATATTCAACTACATATGAGTTAGAACAATACACCACTATTGCCTATCAAAATTGGCAAATTTAAGAAGATTGATACCTACTTTTGGAGAAGCTCCAGAGAAACAGGCATTCTCTTAACTGCAAGTTGAGTGATACAGTCTTTTAGGAGGAAGATTTAGTAACAACTGATCTAGAAATTCCCCTTCAGGGATTTTATTCCACTGCAATATGCTCAAGTATGCAAATATATGCATGTTTGTCTTGGATGAGACAGAAAAAAATTCTGGAAACAACTCATCAAAAGAGCACTCGTTAAATAAATCACTATCCAAATGTAGTACTGTATAGCCCTGAAGAGGAATAAAGTAGATTTATATGACCAATATGGAAACATTTCCAAGATTTATTATTAAGGAAATGAAGCAAGTTGCAAGATAATATGAATAGCATAAACTTATCAGTATGCAAGTAATAAAAATAATAATGATAGTTTGCATAAGCACTGGAAAAATGTTTGGACACCTGGACACTAAACTGTTAACAACAGTTGTCTCTGAAGAATGGGATACTCCCAGCTTTTCGCTTTCTACTTTATAGATATCTGCAGTATTTGAAGTTTCATAACAGCAAACATTCTCTATGTAAAAAATAAAAAATGATTTACGTTAAATAAACATGTTTGAATTTCTTCCTTTTACAATTTCTTCCTTACGTATGCAGGATTAAGTAGAGAATCAGATTAGAATGGATTATACAGTACACTACTCTTCTCAGTAGGAGAATATTCTTTCCAGTGGTGACAGTCTAAAAACCTTAAGCTGAAGGTTTAGAAACCTAAAAGTCTTGGGGCGGCTGGCTGGCTCAGTAGGTTGCGCATCCAACTTCAGCTCAGGTCCCGGTTTCATGGTTCATGGCTTTGAGCCCTGCATCGGGCTCTCAGGAGCCCACTTCAGAGCCTCTGTCTCCCTCTCTCTCTCTGCCTCTCCCATGCACCTGCTCACTCTCTCTCAAATATAGACATTAAAAAAAAACTTTTTAAAGCTAAAAGTCTACACCATTCAAACTGCAGAAATGTATGTGATTATGTGATGACGGGAAAACAGATGGCATAAAAATACATGGTGCATGGGGCACCTGGTGGCTCACTTGGTTAAGCATCTGATTTGATCTCAGCTCAGGTCTTGATCTCAGGGTCGTGAGTTTGAGCCCCACATTGGGCTCCACGCTGGGTGTGGAGCCTACTTAAAAAATACAATACATGGTGTGTGGAGTACAACCTGTAAGGCACGGACCTTGGAAGGTGTCTGATCAAAGGCAAAAATACAAGGATCTATGCATTACACTTTTGTTTTTGCCTGAACCTATAATATGGCTTATCCACTCATATTAGACTAGTTCCCAATTAACACATGTTAATTTTAAGTGGTATGGACAAATTCTACATTAAGAAAATTCTTTTTTTAATGTTTATTTTTGAGAGTGAGAGAAACAGAGAGAAAGAGAGAGAGAGGGTGAGAGAGGAGAGAGAGGGAGACACAGAATCCAAAGCAGACTCTGTCTGGGCTCCCAGCTGACACGGGGCTAAAACCCACGACTCACGAGATCATGAGCCGAAGTCAGATGCTTAACCGACTGAGCCACCCAGGCATCCCTATATTAAGAAAATTCTTAATATCCTCAGATGTTGACATATCAAAGTAGGAAATCACTGACTACAAATAGGAAACCTCTTCCACCCTGTATGTGTCCACTGAATATCTGAAATAAAGTTTGCAAAGCACTCTTGTATCTACTTTCAGATAAGAAATCAAAGAGGGGAAAGCACTGCTCCTTTGTACTTTAGAGTTGCCCATACTACCTAGTTTTGTTTGAGGAAGACTGGTAAAGCAATGCTGTGTACACAGTTGTTATCATGGGAGCTACGAAGTATGTGATTTTCGGTTGGGTAAATGCAGATTGATGCTCAGTGTTACCTGTTGGACAACTGCACTTGAGAGTTATGACTCATCACTTCTTCTTGGCCACCCCATGTGGGCACTAAAATTAAAGGAAAAATTAATTATACTTTGCCAACAACTCCCTTAGGACTAAGATGTCATAAATGATCATTTGCAGTCAAGGGTATCAGTATTCAACCTGAAACGCTTTCCCCCTTTCTAGCAATAGTTAGTTTTCCACTGGGCTTACTGTGCCAAATGCTTGGGGCCTGCAATCCTCCAAAAGACGTGATCCCCTGAGCCTATCTGCAGCCTCCTCACCTGTGCTCTCTCATCAACCCTGGTTCTACAAGGGCAGTGTACTGTCCAAGCAGAAAGTTTTCTTTTCTCAGCAGGCTGCACTGAAAGCACTTCGCATTTGCTCCACTTGGAAATAACATGGAGATTCATTTCGTTCACCAGGTGAGGAATAATTCAGTCACCTATTTTGGCTAGGCTTCCACAGCTGTTAGAGAAGCAGGGTCCTACTTGCTAAGAGGACCTTTTCAGCTACCATTTCATCTCACTATAGCATTTACAAAAACAATTCAAAAATTCAAAACTGTGCACATGAACTATTTACACCACATTTTAATATTAAATAGAAATTGCCAGAAGCATTTTGAAACCCCTTCTAATGGTCATCTATTTCTCGTGTGTGAAGACAATTATTTGATAAAAATCCGTACTTGGGCAGGCAAAACAAAAATACATTTGAATATATAAGACTATGTTTAAGATACAAGTCTTCTAAATTGCATTCAAAATTAGGTCATTTAGCGACAGGTCAGCAACAAAGGACACCCTATGTATCCAGACGACTCTTCTTCAAGCTCATTATAAGCTTGCAGGGGGTAGGGACCATGTGTTCTTTTGTTTCCTCTCACACATTTTTACCACAGTAAAGAATACACAGGAGATGATGCAGAACCGACTTCACGCACAATCCATTATTATATTAACAAAGAGGAAAGCATACTTGCAACAGTTAAATCAAAAACTACGAAAAAAAAATAAAAAAAAAATAAATCGAAAACTATGGAAAAGTTTAAAAGTTTTTATGTTAAAGAAAAAGCAAAACCAAAATTTGTTATATGAAAAATACAAATATATGTGGACAGATTAAGGGAATTAAAAAAAATGTTTTACTTGGACAGAATGGTTATATGTGAATTTTTTTCTAAAAAATTGTTGTGCATTATTGGTATATTCACAATAGGTAGAAAATTGGGGAAATATCTGTAAATGCTGTACTTCAACATTCAGCATGAGATGAATAAAAGGGGCAAGGGAGGAATAAGAGAAGACTCAGAAAGGACACAAAAAATCTGAAATTTAATTATGAGAGAGGGAGAGAGAGAGAGAGAGAGAGAGTGAGTATCACATTCTTTCCTCTCTACGCCCTGACTTATTAGAGCCATAAGGAAAGAATGGAGAGAAGGGGAGAGCTTCACTATGTTCAACTTTGCTTATGACACAGTTATTAGAATTTTCAATTAAGTTCAGATGGACTTTTTTTTTTTTTGCTCATTTACTGCCCAGTCCTTCAAACTTCCTAAATATATGTTCAGCCTATTTTAAGGAGCCCTTTCAAATATTGTAACTAATCAATCCTGATCTTTCTGGCTCTATTCTTTAAGAACAACAATCCTCTGGCCCCCAAATTTTAATGAACAGTGACCATGGGATGACTCTTTCCCTTGTGTAAGAACAGATGACCAAAGCAGATGACCTAACAGTCTGTTCTGAGGTCCAACCCTCAGATTAATCATCATTTGAAGGAGTTATTTACAGTTTACATATGATGTTAATATCACAGCTGAAAATAGCAGCTCCAAAGCATATTTCTGCTGACTATCTAATTTGGGGGGGTGCATAATATGAATGATCTTCGGTCACAAGATAGTATCAACATCATTCATTCCTTTCAAAACACTTTTATTGAGGCCATGCCAAGGTCAAGGAGCTTTTATAGTCTGCTGGAATAAACAGACAGGTAAATATGCAGTTATAACATAATGTGATAATGGTTAAAACAGAGTCATGAACTTACTTAACCTGGAGAATTAGGGAAGGCTTCCTGGGAGAGGTGGCACTCAAGCCCAGTCTGAAAGGGTAAGTAGGAGTTAGCCAAGTTCAGGTTAGAATGGAAGGAAGAATCAGGTGCAAAAGCAAGGAGGCATGAGAGTGTACGAATCATTTAGAAAACTGTAGGCTGACCACCTGACTAGCATAGAAGGCCTGGCAGAATGGTGGAAGATGAAACTGGCAAGGGAAGCAAGAAACTGATCGTAAAGAGTTTTGTATGTCATGGGATTCTTCCCCCAGGCTATAGCTGCCATTTACCTCTGAAATACTTAAAGAGAATTCATTTTATTTGCACACCTGCCATCTTACAACTGTTTCCAAATCCTAATGCTGCTTTACTTCAAAGAGTAGTTTTACGTGTCCTTTTGCCAATTTTCTATTCATCACTGTCTTGTCGATTGCTGTAACAGAAACTACCATTTACTGAGTGTTTACACTATCCCAGATACTGTACTAAATGCTTTAGATAAATTATCTAATTAAGTCACAGCAAAGAAAAAGCACAGCTCTGAAGTCAGACCAGGGTGCAAATCTTACTAGATATGTAATCTTGGGCAAATAACTTAACTTCATTGTCTTAAGCTTGCTCATCCATAAATTTGGAAAACCCCCATCTCCTTTACAGAGTGTTTGTAAATTTTAATGAGATACGCAACATATTTAATACACATAGTAGGCTTTCAATAAATTATAATTGCTATTATTGTGGTGATGTCACTTATGCAAAAATATAACCAGTTGATGTCTACACATGAAACCAGCAGAGGGAGCCTCTATCCATTTCTGGCTTCAATGCCAAGGTAAGTATACCTATTATGGATATATCTATCTCTGAAACAAAATACAAGACAGGATAAAAAGTGATTTGATGGTGGTGTCTAGACGGGACACAGGGAGATGGGTTGGGGAGAACATTGGTAGCTTCAGTCATATTGGTAATGTTCTTAATTGAGCACAGATTCATGAATATTCTACTATTATGCTTTAACACATAATTTTTTTATATATGCCAAATAGTACAAAATATTATATTTTAGTGATCCTAATGCATGTGTACCTACATCCCTCTACCTCTTGTTCCCATTTGAGGTTCAACACAGAACTACCATATCCCTTCCTTGTATTTTTATCTTACTTCCCTTGGATCTCTCTCATAGCAAGTTAATGCTGCCTTTCATTATAGTCATTTTCTGTGTTAGATCTAAGCTTCCTAAAGATATAGTCAGGTTCTTACACATCTGTATAGCTCCAATAGCAGACAGCACTGTGCCTTCGGCTTATTTATCAAGTTGCACTATCCTTTATTTTCTCTTTACAATTTGAAATATTAATATAACCATATTGTGAAATATTTTTACTCATTAAAAAATTATAACTTATTAGGGAAACTGGCTAAATAAATTTTGACATATCCAGTAGTTTAAAAGAATGAGTGAGATCTACATATGTCATTATGCAACCATTCCCACGTCATGTCAATAAATAAAAGGGCAAGGTGCAGGATGATGTATGTCTATTTCAGACATGTGCTTATGTATGCACAGAACATTTCTGGAAGGCTACATAAGAGACTGGTAACTGTGACTGAATCTAGGGAGAGAGCCTGAGTATCTGGCATCAATTGGAGACTTATTTTTTACTGCATAGATCTTTTTGTACTATTTAATTTTTTGTAATGTGACTGTATGACTTTTTCAACTAAAAGAACAGCTTAATAATTTACACTTTCAATAAGAACATATGCACACAAAATACTCAAATTGGATCAGAATAAACAGCAGTTTAACAAAAGAATAAACATCACGTTTATTGGTTATATGGTTAATTACCATATAGCTAGCAACAGATTTAAGGGGTGAAGAAATCACTGTGGAGTGATGTGATCAGGAAAGGCTTCACAATGTAAAACAAGGTCTAAGGAAAGGCTTCACAGTGTGAGTAAGGAGGGCTTGACCTAGACCTCAAAGGATGAGATTTGAGTATCTGGAGAGAGGGGAAGAAGGGCAAAGTTCCCTGGGGCTGAAGCAAAGCTGTGGGGTGGGGCTGGGAGGCACAACACCTGGGTTTTAGTCCTTCTTTGACCCTAAAACTATAGGCTCTTGGGCAAGTCACTCTTACCATCCCTGTATCCATTGCTGGGTCCCTAAAACAAAATGTAATCAGTGATCCGTTAGGTCCCTTCCAGCTCTCAAATAATATTACTACATCCTTAATTATAATTGGGAAAGAAGATTAGGGCTAGATTTGGGGACATCTTGAATGCCAAGCAAAGGAATTTAATAGTTTGGTCAGAGGAAGCCAGTGAAAGTTTTTGAAAAGAGGAGTATGATTTAGCAAGACTGAATTAACACATGAAAGCATATAGTACAATTTTGGCTAATATCATTATTAACTTGGCATCATATTTACAGGGTAGACAAGAGGGGAAATAGCAAACTAAATTGGGAGATCTGCAAGAATCAGAGAAGCAAGACATAAGCATGGCCCAGAACTCAAATGGCACTACTGAGTAAAATATGGGGTCTCAGGTTTGTTTGCAGCCCTAGAGATTCATTACTCTAAATCATCTGCCCCAAGTTTTTGCTTGCTATCCTTTTCTAGGATCCGATTGATTAGCGTTTAGTGTCAGGGAGCATTTTGAACTTGAAAAGTCATTCTACTCAATCACAGTGTTGGGTTTTGTAAAGGTTTATTCTACAACCTGACTCTTTCTAGTATTGAATTGTCTAGGTAGCCAGTACCAATTTACACAGATTTAAATACTTTTGTATTTTATTAAAATTTTCTCAAAAATTATACAAGTACTATATGTCCATAGTGACAAAATTAGAAAACACTGACAAATACAAATTTTTAAAAGTTACCTTTAAGCCAGTTTTAACCACTGTTAATATTTTGTTTTAATTACATCAAAGCATATAGGAACCTTTAAATTCTAAGGAAATAGTTTTGAGAAGGTGATTTGCTTTGTGGCACTGTGGACTGACTCTCATTTAACTTTTAGTGTGCATGGTCTTTTTCCAGATCTCCAGTTAAAAGATCACCTCCTCACAGGCAGAGAAGTTCTTTTTCACATTGTGCTCTACCCCATAGGACCTACATGCTAAATAAAGCAATAGTAACAATAGTAATGTCATTTAAATGATGAAACAATGATTAACTGCCCCCAAATTACCTTTTCAACATATCACTCTCATGCTCAAATACCTCTAATGCGTTCCCTCTGCCTGAGAATCACTTTCCAACTCTTCAATCAGGTATTCAAGGATCTCCAAAATGTGATTTCACCCAGGCTTATCTGCTTGAAATTCTCTGCGACATCTAGTTTAGATTTTTTTTTTTTAATCCCACGCACATGCCATACTTAACATACTATGTGCCTTTGTCTGCTTCTGATTTCCCATTCCTGGAATATCTTTCCCACTCTTTGCTCTCTATTCAAATCCTATTCATTCTTTCAAAGTCCAGTTCAATAACGGCCTGTACAGAATTTTCTCCAGTCATTTCAATTCAGGTTAAATGCTCACTCATAAGCTAAGCACTGTAAGTCTATAATACTCATTCTGGCACTTAATGAAATACTTTCCCTATGCTTTCACTGTTAGCTAAAATATCATGTAAATATTTTTCTTACCGTTCTAAAATAATTTTTAAGTATGATGAAGAAAGAGATCATGCTCTATGCCTCTTTCATTTCATACTAACATTCTATACAGTAGTGAGTACAGAGTAGGCACTTATACAGTTGTTTAAATAAATAAAAAAGAACAAAATGAGGATAAAGAGCACTTCTGTCACCTGACCAACCTCACTTTATAGCTTAAGGGAAACAGTAAAGGAGTAAAAGGAAGAGATTCTCAAGTTGAATAGGGAAAGTATTCTTTTGGGATAGGAAAGGGGCTTTCCAGTCTGAGGAATGGAATGCTTTTTGTGGTAGGAAGAGAACAAGTGGCTGGTGAAAAAGGCCATGAAGATAAAGAAAGGGTGAAAACCCTGTTTAAAAAGGTGAGAAGCAGACAGAGAGGGCGGTACCTAGGAAGAAAGTCTGAACTTAGGAAACATAAGCAACAACGAAGTGTGGGGAGAATAAAGGAAAGAGTTCTATATATGCTTTAGAGTTTTTTTAAACGTGGCTCTCTAGAAAATGAAACTTTCAAATTAATCCTGGACTCTGAAACTCAACTAAAAAATATGAAACTAATCTTAAACTTACAGAAAAGTAAGTAAATGAGAATGACATACTTGAAGAGTCTACTCACAACACAGGGCCTATAAAACAAAAGCCAAGTAAGTGCAACTATTCTGGAATCTTCAGATATATCTGAATATCATGGCCTCTGGTGACTTAGGTTGTCAATATAATGAATTAAAATATATTTCTTACCTTTGTCTTCTCCCTGCTCACCAATAACCCATACTTGTTTTCCTGACATTTGTGCCTTCAAAACATTTGTAATAATGTACTGTAATCTCTGTGAATCCAGATTACATCCAATTCCAATCACTCGATTTGTAGGAAATGCACTCAGTTTCCACGTCACGTAAGTCATGATTTCCACTAAATATTGCACACAAGGTGAAAATGTAAAGATTTTAAAAATACACTTCTAGCCTAGTTCTCATAAACAAAATATTTATTATTAAAAACTTTTTTAATGTTTAGTTATTCTTTGAGAGAGAGACAGAACACGAACAGGGGAGGGGCAGAGAGAGGGAAACACAGAATCAGAAGCAGGCCCCAGGCTCCGAGCTGTTAGCACAGAGCCCGACGCAGGGCTTGAACTCATGAACTGCGAGATCATGACCTGAGCTAAAGTCGGACGCTTATGCTACTGAGCCACCCAGGTGCCCCAAAATATTATTACTTTAATAATTAGCATAGTAGAGCTTCTACATATTTTTCTTAGGTCCCAAATGCACTTTGAGGCATTTTTAATGTATATTAAAAACACTAACCAGGTTTCAACATGATTTTACATAACTTTGTTGTTTAATATAAATTAAGAGTGGAAAATAAATATTTTCCTAGTTAAGTAAGAAAGATGAAAAATGGGTATAGAAAGCCAGAAAAGAATGTTTTTCATCGACCAAGTTCTCTTTTATATCTTTTTTTCCTTTCTTTAAAAAAAAATTTTTTTTAATGTTTATTTATTTTTGAGAGAGAAAGAGAGCGTGAGCAGGGAAGGGGCAGAGAGGAGAGGGAGAGAGAATCCCAAGCAGGCCTCATGCCGCCAGCATGGAGCCCAATGCGAGACTTAAACTCACAAATCACAAGATCGTGACCCGAGCCAAAACCAAGAGTCAGATGTCCAACCCCCTGAGCCACCTAGGCGCTGCTCTTTTATATCTATCTTAAGGTGAATTTCTATTTTTAAATTAAAATAATGATCATATACTCCCACTATGCAGTGCAACATTATGAACAAGCAAAAACACAACTACTTTTTTCTGCCATGCCAAAGGGATGTCAGGAATTAAAGAGACTAGTGTCCCTCAAACAATTACTACAGAAAAACAATCAAAACGTACACCATACCCTTATACTGGGAACATTAAGAAACTCTGTTCGCCAATTTGAGTTCGATACCACCCAATTCTTTGATAATACTTCTTTTTCTTAGTAAACCAGTTCCCAAAACACTTTGTAATATACAAAAAGTTAGGAACACAGTGGCCCGCCCACTAGCATTTTACAACACTTTAGAATTAACAAAATATCTTTCATATAAGCCACTGCATTTTTCTCTTCGGTGTTTAACCATTTTCTCACTGAAGGAGACATGGCCAACAACCTGGAACAGAATGATGGTGATCTGTCACAAAAAATCGTTCAGGTAAAAGCTTCTAGTTAATGCCAGTCATAAGAAGTAACTGGTTGACCGGATATGGACATACCGTATTGTTCGGTATAAGAGCAATTTGAATAGTCTAGCTGCCCTTTTATAATCTAGTTTTATGACTTTTATCAGTACTGGCAATTATATTGATACACTGGACCATCAGAGTAATTAAAAATAAAACTATTTACCTGGTTGAGATGCAACAAGCAGGATACCATGTTGACTATAGTGTCCCAGAGCTGGGACAAGGGCTCTGAACATATCCACATTGCTTTGTACCACATCAAGGTAGGACTGAGAACTACCCAAAGAGTTGACTGTGAAGATCACCACCTTGGAATGAGCAGAGGCAGACAAATCTAATGAATAAAAAGAAACAGTCTGAGCTCAAGATCTAGGTTTTCGTCAAGTTCTTGTTCTTGTTTTTCTGATTCTTTTCTACAAGTGGAGAGCCTTTAGGTATATTTGCCTCCAGATCAATCCATATCCATAGAAATATACAGAGTGCTGAGGTTTGCTTCCAGAAAGGTGATTAAGAGCAAGAGTGTATCCCAAAGGGAGAAAGAGAACAAAGGGGGATAAAGAAAATAAAGTACAGGACTCAGAAGCTAAAAACAAGGGCTTAAGTTTTTTCTGTAATGCACAACTTTCCTACGAAAAATAAGTAATGTGCTATAGGCAAAATGAACCTATAATCAATTAGGTCACTGAGTTTTAAATTGTGAGTTTAGGAGCCTAGAGTTCCTTGACAGTGACTCACAGGCCATGTGGAAGGAGTGGGAATAAGTGGAAAGAAGGCTGGTAGGCACAGCTCCATGCTGTTTACTTTGACCTCTCTAAGCAGAGTAGTTCTGCTTGTATCTGTTTTACTTATGAAGGATTCTACTCGAAAGAGGAACAAAATGGTCAGAAAATCTTTAAATCAAGGTAAAATGTCTTAGCTCATTTTTTACAGACTTTTCCTTATACTGAAGCCAGTATCCTTGGTTTTAGGTTCCTCTTTCAATGGGACTAGGTAAGCAACTGTTACGACTTAAGAGAAGCTGTTCTCTAGAGTTCGCTCCTCTGATCCTGAAGCACACAACATGCAATTTTACAACTACATCACTCTCTACTACACAATGTGCTCTATAGTTAAGTACATGTCGAAACAGCGGCCAGACTTTATCAGCATCAGAGACAACAGAAAAATAACACAGTAGATGGCATTAGTCAACATTTGTAAATTAATATTAGCATCCCAGGGAGACAAGTAGATTCCAGTGTTTATATTCTTAATTAAGCCCCTACGGCCATCTCTCTAAACCAGTTTCAGAATGTACTTTCCAAGTTTAGCTCCTGTTCTGATGCTGTTGTGGGGATAGGAGATCCAAAAGCTGAGTCCTGGATTTTAATGATGGTTCTTCATGAGTACTCTTAAATAATTCCTGTTGGAATTCCTGTTGGAATTCCTGTTCTAGTGTTTAGAGTAGATACCTGGTGATGAATCAAAACCTCAAGAGTTGGAAGGTATATAGTTAACACTTCCAGACCACTTCTATATGCCAGGTACTATTCTAAGAGCTTTCTATGTATTTACTCATTTAATCTAATCTACAACACACTATGGGGTCATAGCCCCCATTTTGCAGACAAGGAATATGAGGCACAGATGAGTAACTTACTCAGTTGTAGAGCTAGCAAGTATCAGACCCAGAATTCAAGCCCAGGCAGCCTGGCTGTAGAGTACTGTTAAGCACCATGCTATGTTTAGAAACTGAGCCCAAAACCCGCATAAAGATGAGGAAACTGATGTTTACAGAGATTAGGTGACTTGTCCATATTATCAAATTACCAGTGAACAGTTCAATTTATGATCTTAAAATTTGGTCCCAACCTATTTTGCAAGGATCATTTTATTTTCTTTCCCCCTTTAGCTTTCTCTACTTTGAATGATACATATACCCTTGCCCTCAAGGTTGCCTCATGAATAAATAAAGTAGTAGCTGTCTAAAAGGATTTCAAAAGTACAAGAAAGGCTTCCTACTCCATAAGGTTTCCTAAGCTCCCAGGCCTTTTATTCTCTTCCTTTGAGCCTAGAAGCTAGTATTTCTTGTACTCTCCTAGGTAAACCTTTGGCTTAAGTAGAATTGGTCCCTATTCTTCCCCACTATGTTTCTCCCACTTTCCCGATAAGCACTTTACTCAAATTCTTTCTTTCTTTTTTCATGTTTATTTATTTATTTTTGAGAGACAGCATGCACATGAGCCAGGGAAGGGCAGAGAGAGAGGGGGACAGAGAATCCCAAGCAGATTCCGTGCTGTCAGTCCAGAGCCTGACACAGGGCTCAAACTCACAAACCATGAGATCATGACCTGAGCCAAAACCAAGAATCGGATGCTTAACCGACTGAGGCACCCAAGCGCCCCTCAAATTCTTTCTAGCTGGAATGTTTCTCACTTCACTCACCACATGCTAGGTAGATATCTGTTTAACTGTCTACTACATTCAACATGTTATGAGCTCTGTGAGAGCAGGGACTTTCCATCTCCAAGATCTAGATACTTAGCAACAGCTACATGCCCCCAGGGCACCCCTGGACCCTTTTATTATACCATACACAAAAACAAACTTAAAATGCATTAAAGACCAGGGGTGCCTGGGTGGCTCAGTTGGTTAAGTGTCTGACTCTTGGTTTCAGCCCAGGTCACGAAATCAGTTTTGTGAATTCAAGCCCCGTGTCAGGCTCTGCACGGCAGCACGGAGCCTGCTTGAGATTCTTTCTCTCCCTCTCTCTCTGCCCCTCCCCCACTTGTGCTATCTCTGTCTCTCTCAAAATAAACTTAAAAAAACCTTTTTAAATGGACTAAAGACCTAAATGTGAGACATAAAACCATAAAATTCCTAGAAGAAAACATAAGCAGTAATTTCTTTGACATCAGCCACAGATCTATTTTTCTAGATAGATCTCCTCTAGTAAGAGAAACAAAAGCAAAATTAAGCTATTGGGTCTACACCGAAATAAAAAGTTTCTGCACAGTGAAGAAAATGACCAACAAAACAAAAAGGCAACCTACTGAATGGGAGAAGATATTTGTAAATGATGTAACTGATAAAGCATTAATATCCAAAATATATAAAGAATTTATGCAACTTGGGGCACCTGGGTGGCTCAGTCAGTTAAGCGTTCAACTTTGGCTCAGGTCATGATCTCACGGTTCATGAGTTCAAGCCCCACATAGGGTTCTGTGTTGACAGCCTCAGATTCCGTGTCTCCCTCTTCTCTCTGCCCCTCCCCTGCTCACTCTCTCTCTCTCCCTCAAAAATAAATAAACATTAAGAATTTATGCAACTCAACACCAAAAAAACCATCAATCCAATTAATAGGGAGAGGACAAGAATAGACATTTTTCCAAAGAAGACATACAGATGGCCAACAAGACACATGAAGAGATGCTCAACATTGCTAATCAGCAGGGAAACGCAAATTAAAACCACAAAGAGATATTACTTTACACTTGTCAGAATGGTTAAAATAAAAAAGATGAGAAATAATAAGCATCGCGAGGACATGGAGAAAAAAGGAACCCTCATTCAGTGTTGGTGGGAATGTGAACTGGTGCAGTCACTGTGGAAAATTAGTATGGAGCTTCCTCAAAAAAGTTAAAAATAAACCTACCATATGATCTAGTAATTCCACCACTAGGTATTTACCCAAAGAAAAAGAAAACACTAATTCAAAAGGATCTATATTTATTGCAGCATTATTTACAGTAGTCAAGACATGAAGCAACTCAAGTGTCCATCAATAGATAAATGGATAAAGATTGTATATATATATATGTGTGTGTGTGTGTGTGTCTATACATATACATATGTACATATACATATATGCATATATATACACATACATATACATATATATACACACACACATATATTTACACACACACATACATCTACACAACACACACACAATGGAATATCACTCAGCCATATAAAAGGATGAAATCGTGCCATTTATAACATGGATGGACTTACAGGGTATAATACTAAGTGAAATACGTCAGAGAAAGACAAATGTAGAATTTAAGAAACAAAGCAAATGAACAAAGAAAAGAAACAAGAAAATCAAACAAACAGAGGGTTACCAGAGCAGAGATCAGTGGATGGAATCGGTGAAGTAGGTTAAGAGTAAGCTTATCTTGATGTAAGAGTAGGTGAAGGCGGTTAAGAGTAAGCTTATCTTGAGGAACACTAAAAAACGTATAGAATTGTTGAACCACTATATTGTACACGTGAAACTAATGTAACACTGTATGTTAATTATACTTAAATAAAAAATAAAATTAAGTTTAAAAGAAGTTGCTGACTTAATATGGGGAAAAAAGATTGTACAGTTGTAAAGAAAGTTAAGAACCTTAAGCGTAATTATGTGAAGATATGATATCATTTACAAGGTTAAGGATCATAATAAAAGTTTATTCAATAACAATTAGTTCAATATACCTCTGCTAAGGTTCCTGTCATGCCAAGCATAATTATACCAGGCCCTAAGAACACAAGGTTAATGACATATTGTCCTTGCCCTAGATATAATACGGTAGGGCTCAAGGGTTAGAATGGAGGGCTTCAGAGTGAGATTGCCTGCTCCAAATCCTAACTTTACCACTTACTTAATTAGCGTAGTGATGTCTCCTCCTGGGTCAGGGGTGCATCTGGACCTCCAGGACAGAAAACTCTTACCTCTATCCCAGCTGCATAGGTAGCCCAGAAAAACTACATCCTTCCTGCCAAGCCACTGGTTCCCAAACAACAGGCCCTAGACCAGTGCTTGTTTAGTTATAGTAGGGGATATCAATCCATTATCAAGCATGTCAAAAGACCCAGCAAATACTTCATGCTCCGATATACCACTGTTCTCAGATTATGAGGATGATGTTGATGAATGAAATACACACTGATTTTAAATCACTGCTGAATTATTTTATTCAAAACCATGGAAAATCAATCAAATAACAATGTCCAAATGCTGTGGAGACCTCACTGAAGTATTCTAGCTTAGTATTATCAGTCTGAATATACTGGAGACAGTACAAATATTTTCATTTCTCTGGTATATTGCTAAACCATTCTAACTGTAATAAAAATTACATAAAAATATGTTCCTTTCAAATTATTTTTCTCTAGGACACAAAATTTTAGAAATGATGATGACCCTTAATTTAGAAATTGTGTTAAGTTGATAGCTACTAAAAATCTTCCTATGTTGGCAGGGGAGGGACTACCAAAGAATGACTTCTCAGTAGCTTTGGGCATTATTTCAGTCAATGACTGGAAGGGATATTTTTGTCTGATGAATTCTGTCTGAATATATTT